ATAAATGACAAATGTGAAATGTGAAATGTGAAATGTGAAATGTGAAATCGGATCTGAGCAACGAGCAATGGCTTGACGGCAATTGATACTTGGCTTTGGGCAAACGGTGTCGTCTTATCGCGAGTCGATAAGCTGAAGCGTGAAGACCCGTTGTGTGTACAGGTGGATGATGGATGACGACAGGAATGGATAGATAGACGAAGGAAATGGTTGATTGGCGGTTGGAAGCATCGAGAAATAGGTCATGTGAGCTAAAGCCCCACTGAGTATGGCTGACTGGCTCTAACGCTAACCTGGCTGCACCCGCAATGCAAGAAGTTTAAGCATGTGCATGTGTGTGTGTGTTTGTGAGGGTGTGAGCGAGCCAGTGTGCTCTCGTGGGTGTGCGCACAGAGGCGTGAGGATTTAGGGTTGGCTGGCAAACTGGGCCAGAGGGTTCCGGTGACGTGAACTGGGGCCAGACGACCGAGATTGACCAGGACTTTCCACTGGCTGAAGAGCGTTCCAGCCAATGAACAGGCTGCCTCGGCAGGGCCGCTCTGATTGGCTGGCTCAGACGCCTCGTTCGCCATCGACCGGCCAGCCGCTGCTGCTGCGTCTGCTGCTGCTGCCTCCCTTTCACGGCTTTTTGACTCTGCAGCCTTCGGTCAGGCTCGGTCCACTCGGTCCGCTCGGTCCGCTCGGTCCGCTCGGTCCGCTCGGTCAACCGGCCCGTGCGCACGCACGCACGCACGCACGCACGCAGGCACGCAGGCACGCAGGCACGTTCGCGCGCACGCCGCACGACCGCCCGCCCGCCAGCCAGACAGACAGCCATTGTCACGCCCTCGGCTGGAGCCAGCGTGCTTCACGCATTTGTACTCAGGTCGTGCGCGTGTGCAGCCACGTGTGTTCACGCGTCTGTCGCAGCCGGGCACGGACACAACGCGACGTGGCTGTGCCCGCCCCACCACGTCTGGCCTGGCGCATCGAGCCGCCAGCTTCGCAGTTTTGTGAGCAGTTTTGCGTGTGTTCACATGCCATGCCAAAGGCGCAGTCAGTATGGGGAAGAGAGAACGTGTGAGAAGGCCTTGTCTCGTCTGACTGACTGGCGAGGCGAGAGCATCAGACTGTTCGGCAGAATGCAGCAACACGACACGACACGACACGACACGACACGACACGACACG